AAAAAATGAATACACTTAACAATGAGATAGAGGCCGGAAGGAGAGGCCCACTGAGTGGGTGTATTAGAGGGCATAAGCCATGCAGTATTCTGCATCAGTCATTTACTATTGCCATTACATCAAGAAACTGATTTTTTTTAGCATTTCAATGAGCTTGAAGTCACTTAAAGCTTCAGATTGGACCTCTAGTTGCTCCTTGTCATGGTTCATTAAGTTTTCTGGCTCAGTAACCTGAGCCGTTTTCACAAAAGCACTGCAGCCCCAAGACTCTTGAACAAATGGAAGTACATGTAAAAATGCAAATTTTAAACCGCCTGATCGGACATCAGCAGATCTTTAACCTGTTGTTTAACCTGCCTTGCATAAAATCTGTATGCACGCATGGGCAAATAGATGTCTTTGGTGCTGCATCCTGCACGTCACTTACAATCGCATCTAGCCCAGTTGACAATGCCCTTGAAACTGCTGGTGCTACAGAAAAACATGTATTCCTCAACCAGATGGCAAGTGGTTTCTAGACATTGCCGGCTGTCTCCAGGTGAAACCGGCTGCTGTAGCAAGTCAATTTAACTTTAATTACATAGCACCAAATCACAACAACAGCTTCACATTGTAAGCTAAAGACCTACAACAACCTCCTTGCAACTGGTCTCTAGTTCATCACCATGGTTGCCTGTAGACTGCATGAAAGATGGTGACTTGTAACAAACGCTTGTGATGCAAACCAGAATTAGAAATGTTGACTTTCAAAGTAAAAGTTGCACCTTTTGGAAAGTGCTGGTTAAAGCAGTAAGTAACCGTTACTTTGAAAGTGAACGGTCTCCACTTCTGGCTTGCATCGCAGTTTCACTGTAAACCAAAGTAAACACAATGTAAAATAAACAGCGAGTGTTTGCAGACAAGTTGGCACCTTCCATGAAAACTATTGTCAACCACCGCACCCAACTTGCAACTAAAGCAATCACGGGAAGGTTTTTGGTGCAGTACCATCTACTGAACTTTGCAGCCAATTTCACTCCAGCGACTGCCAGAAACCTCAACAGGTTAAAGAATATAAAGTTCTCCCAAGCACTCTGTGGTCAACAGTGAGATCACTTAACACTCTCTTGGTCTGTGTGAGCAGGGCTTTAGCAGTCAATTTCACAGTGAGTGCCAGCTACCAGTCACAAACAGCCAGGAAATAAACATTTTTCCCTGGAAATACACATTTTCCCTAGCAGCTAGAGGTTGCTGACTCATCTCTAGTCTTGTTTAACGGAGGCCTTACCTAAACTACGCACTTAGAGCAAGCTGTAAGGTGTCTTTTTGTCAAATGTTGAAACACTTGCATGATAAGTGGCCTTTCATAAATACTTTATGCTACTTTACATGAAGTAATTGTCTTCCTTTTTTGTGTGTGTGTGTATTGTGGTGGACAATGGTTTACATGATCCTTAAAAGAAAAAAGAAAAGAAAACACACACACACACAAAAGCAACACACATATCATATAACTATACAACAACAGAAAGACAAATATACTGAGGTCGAGGAACAAGTTAGGGATACTTTTCCATACGAAGCTACACCGGGGAGGCAAGCACTCTACCTGTCAAACAACTTTAAATGAGAAAGCAGCTGTAATGTCATAACGGATATTATGTGTCTGCCTGGAAAGGGTTGATCAAAGGGCTGAGAACACAAAAGCTTGTCTTGAATATCAAGTAGTGACGGCTGTTTTACAGCCCCAGACGCTGCTGCTCAGCAGTCTAAAGTATGACTAACATCTCTTTCATACCGTTAGCCAACGGTTTGAGAGGACTGTTGATGTTACACATCGCGAACCCAGTAAGTGACCCACTTTACCACAGAATGAATGTACTAGTAATTCTTTAACCTCCTCTGTGAGCTTCAAGCGCAACATAGTGACAGTACACGAAACTACCAGGTACTGCTGCCAAAGATAGAAGTGAAAGCACGTGAGATTCGTTCCTGGAGGCAACTCTATTGATTGCAGCTGTTTTAGGTGTCTGTCTGCCAGGCAGCCTTTAGTAACTGAAAGAGGGGGAAAAAAAGGTGCAAAAACAGACCTGAGACGACTACAATGTGTGCCAATTTCTGACTTCAGCGAAACATACTCATGAGTTTCTCCTCGGGTGAGCCTTGAGTGCATGACTCTTCAGCGTGATCAATAGACAGGGATCAGATCATCCCTCAGGGCAAGTCCTGCTTTCCACTTGAGCTCATGGTTTTTCCTGATATGCACAGTCTGTGTTACATTTGGTTGATTCATTAAAAAAATAACCTGACAGCTGACATAATAACGATTGCCTCAGTGTCATATTTTTAAATAAGGAATGAGAAAAAACGATTACAGACTATTACGAATAAAGAAAAACAGATCCTACATCTCGACTGCTGAAAAGTGTGCCCAGAGCAAAGTCAGCACAAGTGTTTTACATGAGCACAGAGGGGGGCCATGACACAAAGCCCAATATCCTCTTACTGGATAAACAGCTTTTTATTGTTGTGGTTTTTACAAACGAGCACCCACATGCGCACAAGCTCTCTGAATGGCCTCCTAATAGCCAGCACTTTAAAGCTACTAGCCTAATTAAGATTCTGTCAGATGCAATTAAGTTTGGAAAGAAATAATTACACAACAATGTGCACCCGTTTGCATAAACTCTCAGAGCGGTGCAGTCTCCGCTTTGGTTAACATGTTTAAAGCTTTTCTATAAACAGCCAGAAACAAAGATCAGAGTCTTTAAAGAAGTTGAGACTGTAAGCCCATCAGGTACTTTACAACACGCTTCATTAGGAAAACGGATTATTGGATGCAACCTTCCAAAGAGGTGCAGCGTCCAGGTTTATAAGCAGTTTGCATCTCCAAAACAGTACAGGATAAAGCAGATAAACCTCCTGTATTTTCCCAAACAGCAAACAGGACTGTTTTAACACTAGTAATCATTCCTTTCTACTAATAAATAACCCATTGCTAAGTTATAATGGGGGCAAGCTCCTAAAGCAGTGGAACAGGAGATACCACGATACACTACTGCACCATAAAATGCATTTTTTGTGCAAATGATAGCAGTGTGGTCATTTTATAAAAACACATTTTTAGTGGAGAAGCTCTACTTGTCGAGTGGAGCTTGTACAGGGAAACAAAGCTCACAAGTGTCACCTGAAATCATATACCAACACACTGTAGCATCACAGAGTACACTGCTGCTCTGTCCTCGACTGTCAGCTGAAGGGTAAAAGCAAAGAAATGAGCACTTGTACAGCAAACAGAAAGGCCAGAATCAGCACAAGGTTCGACGATCGGTATAATGCTGAAAACAGCAGTATAAAATCTTCACTGTCTAGCATTCATGACTAGACAGTATGCAGGTGTATTATTATACTCTAGGTTAAATGCGTGAAGTACGCTGTCCATTTGACTGCTAGTCAGTTTTTTCCAAGATGAGCCACCAGGAAGATGTGCACCACTAACAGGTGCTCGTGCACGCATGTGTATGTAAATGTGTTTATGTTTGCGTACATGCGCTTGAAATTCCAGGCAGGCCTGCAGACAATGAGAGGAAGTGTTCCCCTTCCACTGCAGCGTTTAATTGGTCAAACAGACCAAAGTGAGCGAGCTCCGCTAGGCCCAACAATAAGGCCCTGTGTTCCCTGAGCCTCAGCTTTGGGCAGGTCAATGTGAAACAACAACACGCCACTCTGTGCGCCTCTCCAGCGGCAGCAGCACTCTAAAACAAAGCTGCTGAATTAGTCTCTCAACCCAACAATTCAAGCTCACAAAGCCACCAATTACAGCTGACCTGCTATTTAAGAAGAGAAAAAACACTTTTATGTTTACTTCTACGGGAAAAGACATTCGAGCAGTGCTGAAAATCCTTCCCAACTGGAGATTAGTGGCTATTTTTAAAAAAATGAGCAGCAGCAAAATAAATAAATAAATAAATGAAAAGGTTGAGGCAAACCATGTGCAGAATGGTGGCTGATGCCAAGGAGAAGCACCTGTCAGCTAGAGCAGGTGTGTGACCGTCTGCCTGGCTCAGTCCTCCATGCACGCACACACACACAGGTTAAAAATGAAGCCACAACCCTCACCAAGGTGTGGAGGATCAGGAAGCTTAAGCTGACACTGAGCCCATATGTGGATTATCTAAGCCACCAGATTCCCTCGTCTTTTCATTTTTATTTATTTATTTTTTTTTAATTAAAAGGTTTTTGGTTGGAAAATTGCTTGCCCCGGTTCCAAACTTTTTTTCCTTAATGACACCAGAATTAAACCCCCCATTCCCTCCACATGCCACCCAACGGCAAACAAAGCAGCGACACACTAACACACATAACAAACGGAGCTACTCATGTGGGAAATTCTATTTTTACCAGGAGGCAGGGCGAGGCTCTGCCATTACAGTACACAAAGTAGGGAAACTACAACAAGAGAGGGAGGGAGGCAGCAGAGGGCTGTCAGGAAACAAAGCGGAAGTGTCCTTCCTCCTGATGACCTGCAAGTTAAAGGAGAACACAAAGTGCTCTCTGTGCAGGAACAGTGAAAAGTCGTGTATATTTGACTGATTTCTTTCTCTTTTTAATCCTCTCACAGCCCCTAATTTACCTCATTCATTTACTCAGTACATGAGACATCTATTGCATGTATAGTCCTCTTAGAAAAGAGAACCCCTCCTCTGTTATACATTTTTAGATTCCTTCCATTTTGGGGAATCGGGGGTTTACGGATAGATATGTTGTAAATGCTGTGCAAACCTGTGAGGACTGATCTCTAATTGGACATTAAAATTAAACTGAATTACAACCAGAGCACATTGTAGACGCAAAACAGTAAAAAACCTCTAATTAATGATGTCTGAGTTTGCCAAAGCGTGAATATAAAGGTTAAGGGATGTGTAAGTGAGTGGTAACAGTTTACGTCACTACCTGCCAATACTGGAAAATCTGAATATAACTCATTTATGTTTGCAAATCAAGGGGCTACCATCACTCACCTCCTCCAGGGAAGCCACTGTATTCCTACACTGGGACATCCTGGTGGTGAAGTTAGAGGCGGTCGGCGATTTGTAATCTTCATTGGTCTCTGCCACAAACTCTGCAACTGTGATTTGGTCCGGCATCATTAATCCCTTCTTGCTGATAAGAACGAGCCCCTTTTTCTTAACCCCCTTCTCGTCTGCGCACTTCTAGGACTGAAAAGTTCAGAGGAGCAGTTGCAGGAGTGGTGTGTGTGAAGGTCCCTGCGGGTAGTAAACCATCTCTGTTTGTGTTATTCCCTTGTTTGCTCCCTACACAATCCAGCGCAGCAGTGCTGCACGTTGCCGCTCTCACCGCGCCGTGCTTTACAAGGTGATGGATAAGGTTAAATCCCTCCTGCCTTTTTATCCCGCTACTCCATTCAGTTTAACGGCCAGCCGGGTGGTCACAGGGGAAAGAAAAGCTTCCTCGGCAGATCCCGCTGTCCTCTCTCGGTGTCCCGAAAACCTGCAGCAGAGCAGAGGTAACTTCTCCTTCCTCCAAGCCCCGGGAAACAACAACCAGGCGTTTCAACGGGAGCGCAAGGAACTGACAAAGGTAGAGGAGGGGATTCAATGAACCCGCACCAGCCAATGGGGACACGCCGCGTTCAGTGCTGCTTGTAAATTATAGCACCGCAGTAGGAAGGTGATTTCTGTGATATATATGGACACTGTAGTGAGTGTGGGGGCTTCAGTTTTCACGTTGATATGAACCTTTACATTTGATAAAAGTAATACAAACTGTGATTTCAATCAAAAAATATTGTAGGTCTTTTGTAAAAATGGATGCAGAAACTTTAATAAAAATATCTGAGGAAAAAAAAATACTGTAGGGCACACAAACAGTATTGTGTATCTGTTAGGCTAGCTGTACTCAGTCCACATATGACTCTGATGCCTTTATGGTAATTTTATACATGCCACTTTTAAATCTTGCAGGAAAACATAACATAACATATAAGTTAATGTAGAACATCACTGATATTGCACAAATTAGTGCCTGAGGACATCACCAAAGGGCTGCAAAGTGGCAAAACACCCTACCAATAATACTACATGCGGGGTTTTTAGCCTATAATCAAAAGTGGCATAAAGGGTTAAGTAAGAATATGTGTATTAAATGCACAATAGAATATAACATACATGTCATGTGTTAAATTAGCTAAACTCAGTGCACTGTCCGCGTTCCACGAGTCAGTTTTTGCGCCTACCGAAATATTTCCTACAGATCTTTAAAGCATCACTTTGAGTGTACAGTCGCTTGCTGGTTCTTTTTTTAAGGTGGAGAGAGGAGAAGCAGCCGGGTGTAACAAATTGGCGGCACTATCATAATCAAAATGCGGTTTAGAGTGTCATTTTTGCAGGTCTGTATTTCTGTAATGCTCATAAAGCAAGCAGTTCTTATTCTGTACAAACACAGTTACTTTTAAAGGAATGATCATCACTAAAGATAATCTCTGAATCCAATTATATGCGGCTAAACACCTAAACAGCAGGAGCACATTAACATTTTATTTTGTGTAACAGTGGGTTGCTGTTCAGATGTTGCCTGTGATTTCAAACAGAGCCTAAAATACTCCAGCAGTAGCTAAAGCATGTACAGTATTCATTCAAGGAGCCCGCTCATCATGGCTCAGTGAATCAGAGAATAAAGACTTAAAATAACTGGATTGAATGTGATTGTTTGGATTATGCTGATGCTTAAAGGTGAGCATCGTTAATGTGACTGTGCTGCATGAGAAGATTAAATGGAAAATACCCATTTTTGATCTCCTGTTCTCTCGATAGTGTCACAGCTCCTACCACATCTTTGATAAAGAAAGGAAAAAGTTCCAGATTTATGTTTGAAGAGGACCAGCACCAGTGCAAGGAGGGAAATCTGATGGTGTGCTTTCTATCATCTTTTTATCTGCCTACACTTCAGAGTTTGTTTAGTATATGTTTGTTTTGCCCATGGAGCATGGGTATTTTAAGTTACAGGCAAGAATAAAAATGAAAAAAAAAAGTTGGATCTACTAAAATACAGTTCAGAAAATAAAATATTCTATCATTAGGCACAGTCTAAAACTGTGAAGAGTTACTCTCATGCCGGAATTTCTGTCAACAGGAGCTTGAAAAAACAACAGCCTTTGCTCCCAGAGTGCTTGCATTTCTCCTGGGCTTTGGGATGATGTTTCCCAGCTCATTCAGCTCTGGCAGGACAGCTACTGGTATAAATAGTCTAGAGGCGGCGGAGGCAAAACCCTGGGCAGCCTTTAAATCACAAAATAGGCACTGTTCACACATTCTTTCAGTGCTGCAGCGTCTCCTGGCAAACTGCTAAATGAAGAGCCCGAGACCCAGGCTGACCCTGACCGGGCTAGCTGGCCTCGACTCCCTTATGGAATGAATACATGCACTTCCAGGGAACATCTGCTATCCAGAGACAGAGCCGCTCTGTCAGTGAGGTCAGCAGAACCAAACAACATCAGCCCTCCTCTTCACCACGGACTTAATATTTTCAGTTGCATCTGCCTTAAACAGAGAGTGCTACGTCTCTTTCTGAAGTACTGCAATGAGAAGCAGGTGTATAGGGTCATCTGGAAGATATGGCTTGGAAACATAATAAAAAGCAGCATGTTTTATATTTTATGGGACCTGAAGAAGAACATGCAGGGTTATCAGTGAGGAAATATGAAATCCTGTTCAAATACACCAGTTTAAATTGCTTAAATAATCAACGGTCCACTTTTTCTGTATTGTATAATCATCCATTTTTCCATTTTACAGTCAAGCTCTATTTGTTTAAAGCCCAAACGGAAAAGGGGTGTCATAGCAAAAAGCCGTCAGCTGCATTATTAATCTGGACAGAAGCTTCATTCAGCAGCTCAACGCAGAGCTTGTTCGCATGCAAGAAACTTCCAGCCCTGAGTAACAAGTCAGAATTGTAGCTGTTGGATCTTCAAATGATTTATTGAGAAAGCGAACTGAAAATGTCCACGTTAATCACTGAATTGTTGTGAAATGCGTTATTTTCGCTTTCCTTCGGAACCAAAGTTCATTTAGTCGTAAAAAACTGAAACCAAACACAACCAGACAGCTGCAGACAGAACAATAGCCAAAGCAGATGTCATACTGTACACAGAGACCTTCTTGGAAATGATGTTTGTAATTTGTATCCTGCACAGAAAGGCACAGGGCGTGTCAGTGAGCCAGTTCTTTGGTCAAAATGAGCCACAAATATCCAACAAAGTTCGACTGATTTGGTATTTCAGCATTAGCGGGAACAAGGCAACATGTCAGACTGCAGTAATGAAGGGGACTGAGGCTCCAGTGGGAGTCACTTTTTCCTAATTGGACTGCCATGACATCATGATTGTGTAGCAGGTGGGATAGGCTCACAATCCAGCTTGGAATGAATGACTTCTTTGTTTCAAATAATCTGCAGGCTAATTAAAACCATTCTGCACCTGAAACTTTTCCACACACGTGCAAATAAAACAGAATATTCCACACTAAGGGGAACTTATGTACCGCGTCATTGACTGCAGATTAGATTAAAGACGAGCTTGTTATGTAAACGAAGCAGCTGCAGATAGGCAAGATCGGATCAGACAGTGCCTGCTGAACCTGAGCGGTGGCCTCACGTACTTGGACTCTGTAATGGGAGGAGATGAACAGATGAAGGGAGGGCAAAGGCAAAGGAACAAGAGGTGAGAGAGCAGCAGTAGGGGGCCCATCGGTCCACAGACTCGGCCTTTCCTTACAGATTCTCTGAGATTTTCTGACAAATTAACAAATTCTGGAGCATTACTGTCTTCGTGAATGGCGAGTCTGCACAGAGATGATGCTTGCATCACATGCAGATTACACTGAAGTGCATACACAAAATTCAGAGGTGTTTTACTCCAGCTGTAACTCACTCTTGCTTCACTCCTGCTAGGTTGAAGTCATATTTTTACGTAATCTGTGTGCATATCTTTTAAAGTAAAGCCAACTTTTCAAATTTTACAGTGCACAGCACATTCAAAATTGATTGTAAACTATTTAGTAGAGCTCAGTGGTGGTACTTAACAAAGAAAAATCACAGTCATGCATCTTTATTTTCATCTTATGTGTTCAGGTCAGCTGAAAACCTCACCAGGGTCAAAGATCAGTATTAGCAGCAATTACATGTGGTTCAATCAATAACAGAAATCATTTAACTGGTGGGGATTGGTCCAGTATGGCTGACTGCAATATATAAACCCTATACTGAAATGTTACTTCATAACACACAAAAAAGGTCACGGGATCGATAAGTAATTCCCATCTTGAGCACTGGGTTTTCCATTAATATCCAAATCTGAGCACATTCATGCACTCCACACAGAGGAATGACCTGGTTTTAACCTTGCCACCCTGAAGGACATCCAAGAAATCATGTTCTCTCGAATAATTGCATGACATTTTTAGTCAACCCCCACCACGCGCATCCATCTGAGTGATGATCGAAAAGAGCTCGGGCTTTGCAGCTGCTTCACTGTCATCATTAGGAGCGAGAGGCTTTTACAGTAATTATGAGTCCTCTTAGGATTTGGCTCTGTGAGCCTGAGTATATCAAGTGTCCCCGTGCTTCATTATATCCTGTCAACCTGTCACCATCTCTAGGTTTCCTAGGTAGAGCAGCTTGGTAGTTCAGTTCAAGCCGCCACAAGCATCTCTGGGAAAGAAGACGAACCACAAGTTGCTCTTGATGGAAAGCAAATAGGTGAATAAGAATCAGATTGTAAAGCACCGTTTAGAAAGATCTCCATTCAGAGTGAAAGCACACTTTGTCATGTTTCATTGTGTAGGAGACACCAGCGTCCTATTTTGTTCAGTGTCCCCTGGGGCAACATGAGACTTCTGAATTAATAAAAGGTCAGTGGCTGTGCATATTACTTTTCTCCTCTAATCCCCAGCATGTACCACAGGATATTAGCTGTTAAACTATGTGACAAAACACACACACAAAAGTGATAATGATCTCTGAACGATCTCAGCAGTTCAATCCTCGTATCTCTGGGTTGAAAACATGCAGATGGGCACACACGCTGCTGTGTACTAAGAAGACCTCATGCCTGTCGAGGAAACATAATATCCGTGCTGTGTGGACTCTCCTTGTGATCAATGCAGATATTTAGATTTTTTTATTTTTTTTATTTTAAATATCTACAATTAAAAATGAACCCCTCCTCTGATGCTACACTAAACAGGTTCATTACCAGCTATGGATCAGTATAAGTGGATAAAATAGTTTAAGGTGGTAATCATTATTAGGCTGCAGACATGACAGTTACATTTTTTGCCACCAACTCAAGCACGCTTAGTATGTTGTTATTGTCTCCATCCATCTACCAAGGGAGGTTAGGCTAACAGGGCCTTGAACTACATGTCACTGTTTCATCCACACTAATTCTATTGAATTTAAAACAGGGTAAACTTGGCTTTAGATTCTCTCTAAATCTGCTACTCTTCTGCACCTTGAAACCAAATGAACCTCCCAGAAAATCCTGCAAGCCCCCCTAAGTGACAAGTGGCATGGTGCAAATTCCCAGGCTGCATT